TGATCCACGAAATTGGCTTGCTTATGTAGTTAGATTTCTTAACTTGTTAGCAGCTGGTACAGCCGAAAGGTGACAGACCTTGGAGAGGTCTGTCAACACAGTGTTTGAAGACTCATACGTACCATAAAGAGCAAGTCTGCGCTTTTTTATGTATTCCATTCTTAAAGTTGCTTTGGCCACAAGTAACTTCTGTGTATAATGAGCTTTACTGAAAGCTGGTTATAAGTGCTAAGAAAAGCGCTGGCGGTGGGGAAATACTGTTCTGTTTTCCGCTCCTAGTAGCTATGTAGCTGTTCCTACGAGGAATCACGCTCAGATTACCCAGTTCTTTACTTCCCCCCAGCCTCTAAAAACAGTTGGTTTTTTATGTCACACGCCGCTCTCTGAGAACAGCAGCCTTAAATTCAGTAGAAGCCAAGACATTACATGAGTATTGAGATTATGTGGGGATTAGGAGAGAAAATTGCAGTAGGACAGGATACAACATTTACAGACATTTATATACTCAAGGAAGGAGTTGTATTGGGAAACATACTGTATTTTAGAGTTACTGTATTTATTTTTAACATTTCTAGGAATGCTGTGATTTTTGCAGATTTCAGCGTTTTGTCATTTAGTTCTTGTCTACTCAGACTGTATGAACAATTCTGGACAGTTATATGCGTAAAACTTTTTCCTGTGTTTGAAAAACAGAAAACAAAATCAGACCCTTAAACTCATGAATAATTTGATGACAAATTATCAATTTCTTCAGAAGATGATTTCATCCTTGGTTCCTGAGCGGACTCCTACTGAAGGAATGAAGCCGGTACCTGCTCCTAAAAAAATTTCTTAGTTATCAGTTCAGATATCACTGAGTACTGGAGCAAAAAGAACAGAAATCTTCCAAGAACTAATTGGAAAGCAAGAAGATCTGTGTGAATGACAGCAGATTCATTGCCTGTAATTGAATTGCAGATGTTACTGAGTGCAGTTACTTGCAAATACTGTGGTGACCTAAATCAAATCCATGCAACACCTGACTGAAACTGCCATATAATCTATTCTGAGTTATGTTAGAGATTTTGAGAAAATCAGCCAGAAAAAAAACCCAAAACAAACCAACAGGAGATCTGAGCGTAGGTGACTTGGCTCAGTAAATATATAACTGATAATTGTGATGCTAGATGTGTAAAACAATTATTTAAAAGGAACTCAAGGCACTAAAGAAAATATTTTTCAAAAGATCAAATAATATCAGTACTGGTCTCCTTCAGTTGCTTTACTTTTTCTTTAGTTCCAAGTACATGAAGCTAACAAAAATTACTAGTTTCTGTTAGCATCTCTTTGTTTTTTCCTAGTTTTCTCTTTAAAGATGGTTTCAAAGATGTACTGTGGCATTGGACTTGCTTCTCGGCTGATGGAATTGAAATGTGTTCCTTCGGTTCAGAGTTTTTAGTGAATTAATTGTGTCTTCATAACAAAGTTTTCCCAGAGTTGCTGGCCAGCCTCCTGCATTTTCTGGGAACCTGGGCCTGTTCTCCTTTGTGATGACATTCCCCTTCAGGGACTACATCAGTGATACTGTGTATGTTAAAAGGGCCTTGGGCCATATTCAGAGAAAATTTTATCTTACATTTGTTTATCTTTTGGCTTAGAAAAAGTTACTGTATATCAAGCTGCTGATATTCTAATACAGCAGTTTTGAGCTGCTCTTGATTTGCCCCTCAGTAAAATTCTGAAGTGGGTGTAGGATCCTTTTTATAGGGAATTATAGCTTAGTAATAGTAGGTTGTCTTTTTTTAAATTACCCTGCCTATGTCACCACATCTGCAAACGACAGGTGATGTCCCAGCAGTAGCTAGATCTCTATAACTGACGTTTCTGCAAGGTTTGAATTCCATTCTGTTTCTTTGAGAAAGAAGGGTTTCATTACTCTCTGTCTTGCCAAGTTAAAAAGTAATTTTTTCAATGTAATTGAATACTGCTTGGACTTTACCTATCTTTGCAAAACTGTGGGAATTCAGACACTTAATCCATGAATTTCATTCAAAAAGCAGAAGACAGTAATATGTACTGTTTCACTGTACAGGGTGAGTCCCACAGGAAAACACAATAATAGTAATAATGTAATGATAATTTCAGTGTTACATTTATTTTAGACAAAGAGAAACAAAACAGTGCGTATCAGAGGCAATTTCTAAGGGAAACTAGTATCTTGGTACTAACAATAATGAGAAAGTAAATATATATTATTATTATAACTCAGCAAAAGCTTTATTATCAGTTATAACTACTGAGTAGCTTACTCATTTGAATATCCTAGAGTTGTTTTTCATAAAATCTATTCTTGTTTTTTTACAAGTACTCTTGTAAACAAAAGTCCATGGCTTCTGGCCTGAACTAACCTTTGGAATTACGGTGTTTTTAAATTGGATGGATCCAGGCTTTATACATCTCCTTGTTAAGTCTAGTTCTGTAACTTGGGTTTCTGAAGTTGAAGGCAGATAGATAGTTGCACTGAGGAGGGGAAAAAAACCCAAACAAAAACAACCCATGGCATTTAACAGTTACTAAAAGTTACACACTTCATTTTAAGACTCATTTTTGCACTTACTATATGACATAAACACTGTGGGAGATTAGTATTACACTTCTGTGTCTCAACTATTGAAGTTTGTTCTCCTGCTTTGCAAAACATTAGCAAATCCATCAAATGCTCTTTTCTTCTTAACAAAAAACTGGCCCTGTCCTAAATTGGTGCGACTTTTTTGACGTTTTTCACTCGAATTTTGGAGGTTGACAGCTGTTGTAGAATTGTTCTCCAGTCCTGTCAAAGTAGTGTCATCCTCCGTCTTGCTGGAATCAGTGCTTTCGGAGATTGTATTTCCTGTAGTCTTTTGTGGGAATGAACATGGACTGTACTGTGTGCTTTCGCTGGAGAAGCCTTGTGGGACTGAGAAGGAATATGCATCCTCGTCACTCTGACCCAGCTGGAAATGATTTTCTGTGTTGAAGACTGATTGTGTTTTCCCAGAAGAGTGAAGATGCAGCAAATCTGCTGTAAGATTGCAAGACTGCGTTTCTTCGGGCAGACTATGGTTGCTGGTATCCTGTGATTCTGTATATCTATCACAGTCTTTCTCATTAAAACCTCTTTGCATTTTATCTGCACAAGCCTTAGTTGTGTTCACCTGCTTCCCCTGTGGTAGCAAGTCTTCGTTCTCTGTAATAACCGTAAAATGTTTTTCAGCTGTGTGTTCAGGCAGAGATTGAAGAGATGATTTGTTGCTGGAATGCAGTAGTGATGATGTTTGAACAATTTCATTCAAACCAATATCAATGGGAGCAAAAATAAAATCGTTGTCCTCAGATGTACTCGTGTTTCTTCTTAATGTAATATCCCCTTCATGATGATTCTTTTCAAAGGAGTTCCTATCTATGTGCTCGTCTGTACTTCCCTCTGGTGCATTTTCTTCTTGTTCAGTGGGACTGAAGCTGGGGGAATGCTGTGATTCAATGGGAAACTGATACAGCTGCAATTCAGCCTCTTCAGGAGTGTTCTCTGTATCTGTGTCATACGTGAGAGAATGTTGTAATGAAAGTAACATATTACCAAAATCTGTACTTTGGTTGTGGAGAGAATCAGAAATAGAGTCTTGTACTGTTGACTCTGCATTAGTAAAATAATCAAGCGTCTCGGGAACTTCTTGACTTGAAGAACTAATTGGGTCTGAATCTGACATGTTTACATGGTCACTACACTTATCAGCGTAAGGTGATGCTGTTTCAGGCACGATGGTATCTGATCCATAATTAATAGTGGTTTCAAAATACTCATTGTTCTTGTCTTCCTTTTTCCCAATGTGCCGAAGTTCAGCAGCAATGTTTGGAGACTCTGGCAGTGTTGAGAACTTCTCAGTTCCACTGTTCGTATCGGCTTCCTCTAGTGATGACTGACAGACTGGCAGGTTGTCACTAACATCAGGTTGTTCCAGTTCAAAGTCTGCTAAAGAACTACAGTCACTCATTGTGAATGGAGTCCCTTCATCTGAAGAACTATCGCCAAATATATCTGCTGAAGCATCTTTTTCATTTGTACATTCCGTTTTATAGTCATACTCTGTAAGAGGAGAGTTTTCTATTGTTTGGCAGACACTTAAATTCTCAATATTTGTATCTCTCTTGCAGCTACTGGGTAAAATAAAATCTCCCACATCACTGGTTATATTCATGTTGCCGTTTAAACCAAGTTGTTCATCACAGCTTTGCCTTCCAGGCATAAATTTTGTAGTGCTCATGGGTTCATTGTGTGAAACGATACCTTTTCTTTCAGGAGAATCTGGTGTAGCCTTTGTGATTTCAGACTGCAGCAGACCAGAGTTGTTGCTTACCTTGCTGTTCCTAGAATCTCGTGCAACTGTAGGTGTTTGTATTGTGGAAAATGGAAAGCCAGTTTCTCCCGTGAAGGATGAATCCGAATCTGAAGAGTCAGTGTGATTTGAATAAGAGTCAGCATTCAATCTCCTGGGCATGGGAGGGAACCTTCTCTTCTCTGAGTCTTCATTATTTGCATATTTTGAATCTTTCCATAATGAAATGTTATTACTCATTAATTTTCTTGGCGTTACTTCATTGCTGTTCTTGTAATCTATCCTTACAGAAAATTGTCCGTTATCATCAACATTTATATTTTCATCATTGCTGATACTAGTTTTGATGTCTGAAAACACTGTTTTTTTCTTCACGTTGATCTCATCGTTGCTTTGTTTCTGGTACTCTTCTTCGGTATTTGGTGCATGTACACTGCTACCAATGACATTTTCATGCAAAGAAGTAGTTTCTGTAGGAAAAACGTGTGTGTTTCTTGAAGAATTCTCATCAAAAATGAACAAATTACACTGCGTATTTGTTGGTTTGCTTGCAGAGCACTCTCTGCTCAAGGTTTCATCTGAAAAAGCTTGATTAGAATAAGTATGTTCTGAACCTGAATTTTTGTTCCTGCGCATGAGTCTCCACAGGCTCACAAGGTAGGGTCTAGCAAAAGCACCCAGACAAAAAGCACAAACAAACGTAATGAACACCGAGAGGCAGACAGCCAATGCAAGGTCCTGCTCTGTTCTTCCTTGTCTAAAAACAGTGTTAGTGTCCCGGGCTTTTCTAACCAAAAATGTTGAAACCTTTTCTTTCACCTGTATATCGTAGATGAGATATTTCTCCTTTGGTGTATTAAAAATACACAGATATAACCCTTCAGCAGTTTTCTCAGCATTGTATATCACTAAATTATTCATTTTATCCAGTGTCATATGAGGAAGGCTATTATCTTCTGAAATTCTGCCTTTAGGTGTCCACCAAGAGACTCCATTACCTGAAATAAAAGAAAACACAAACTAAATCTTTCTTAAAAGTATAGGATACTTGGTTTGCAGGGTCAAGTTATTTCTATAAGAGCATACTCTGACTTATCTTTGATAATTTTAACTATTTATTATACAATCCATTTTCTTTTTATCCATCCATAGTTGTTTTACATGGTACCAAGTATCTGTTAAAGCATCCTGTATTTCCCCCCCACACGTTTAAAACACAGTACGTATAGGGTCTTAATAGCAGACTTTACAAGAAAAATGGCGTGGGTAAGGGAGGAGGTCACTGAAAATATCTTAAGTGTGTTCTGGGTCATACTAGGAACACCCGCTGAGCTCCCTTGTGGAAGATCCGTATTTATAGCCAGCCGTTCTCCAGCGTGGCCACGGCCACTGCGTGCAGCTATGGGATAAAACTTCACTAGTTAACCATCAATGTTTCAACCACTGTGATTTTCCTGTAGTTACTGCTTTGACTGCAGCAAAAAGGTTTGAAAACCAAGGATATTTGTATTTACCGAGCAATTGTTCCAAACTTTAGCTAGCGTAGGCTGTGGCTGGCTGTTGGTTTTTGGAATATGTTTCAAGGTTATATGTACACCTTTGCCTTTGGATCTGCTCGCATTCCCAGTTGAGTTTTGGTGCAATCCAGTGTGTTGATTTTAATCCCGTGATCAGAGTTTCCATGACTTTCCTTGTTAACAGACAAAGCGGGTGACATTTCTGATAGATCCTAGGTATTTTCATCTGGGGATAAAGTGTTGCAAGGGGAAAGCCTTACCACCTGAAAGTGCTATTAGTCCATTAGAGTTAAACCGTTTTGCCTTATGGCACATGACAAATACACCTTCTACTCTAAGTTTGGTCTTAGTTTTCCTTCTTTGTGGAAAGTCTGAGCTCTGTAGATTTTGTCACTTGTACTTCAAGTGCTCTGTATTAATTGTAAATGCTGAATTAGTTTCCTAAGCGAACTGTGTGCTCCAATAGCTGTACTTTTTTAGAAGAAATATAAATCCTTTCCCTTGCAAATAAACTTCCATTTCATTTTGCTGTAACTGAATACTAGAAACACTACTGTATCCTTCTCAGTTTTCTACATGCCCCAGAAGTGCCACCCCGCTATTTGGTCCTTCATTTGCTTTCCAAAAGTAACTGTTAAATTTGCAACGTACTACTTATTGAAATTTATTTGTGTGTAATTTGGCATCACCTACTAGTTTAATGTAAGGAAGGAGATGAAGACTTTTTTTGGGAAACATGACTTTCAAGTATTCTAACCAGTGCACTACTTCCTAATGAAATAATTTGCATGTTAAATTGTTGTTCAGTTATTTTTAAACAGTATCTTTAGAAATCCACTTTTTAAACCAGATTTCTTTGATCATTCTGCACGTGTTTGGGTTTTAGCAGCGTATCGATAGAGTCCCTGTTTTACATACCCCTTGTGTTGTCCAGGTCACAGTTTAGCACCGATGTCTTCCCTGTTGGGATTACAGCCCTCTTGAGCAAAACACTGTCGCTGCAGTTTAAATGGAAACTTGAAAGATACAGCAGAGGTTTCTGTGAGTCGCTGGCAGATTTATTGTATGAAATACTCCATTTTTTCCTTGTGGAGTCAAAAAGAAAATGAAATAAATGTTTGAAAGCATTTAGTCTGCAGTTAAATATCCAGGCGTTATTTGACAAACCCACTTCAAGTTGAAAGAAGTTCAAACTCATTAATATCTGTGGTAAAGGGGTTGTCAGAGCATTTTGACGGAGATCCACGACCTATTTGGAAAGAATTCAGAATTAATTTGGTAAGCCTTACAATGGAATCCTAATTGCAATATCAACAATAAATTTATTTTAGTATCCAAGCACTTTTGCAGTTACGGGAACAATATATCTGGTTAGGTTTTCAAGAATATTGTTCTAAGCTTTTTAATTTAAATGAAAAGTTTGAAGTGTGGTATATTTAGAATTCTCCCGTTGTAGACTACCTCTGTGTGAATGGGAAGCCGCAGGGCTCCCGCCATGGAAGGGACGGGGGTAGAAAAGGATGTATGTGTGTTTAAGGCAGTTATGGGCTGGTTTGTGGCATAGATAAATGGTGAATTTACAGTTATATTTTGTATATTTACAAGTGTGTGTGTTTTCCTATATATGAAAAGCAAGTATATGTATTATATAAAAATAATGATTATTTTCACCATTTGCTTTATATTTTATAATTGTATACTAATATAATAATCAAAGACCGATATAATTATGCTGAATAGTTTATAATTAATATCTTTAATGGTGATTAACACAAAACATTGAAACAGTTGTAATATTGCTTTACAACCTGTAATTTGTTGAGATCCCTGAAGGCGTCTGGATGAATTTTAGTTATCTTGTTGTTTTGCAAGTCGATGTCCTTCAGCTGTGAACAGTTTTGAAAATCATTCAGATCAATCTGTCGTATGCCATTGGATGACAAATGGACAGTTTGTAAAGATTGCAGCAGGCCTAGTCCTAGGAAGAACAAAACTATTTTACATTTCATGTTCTTGTTTTCCCAATTGCGTCAAGTGGCTTTTTAAAATTCTTTGCAACAAAATTCCTTCCGTTCCTGTCTATTGCAACGAGTGGCTGCAGGCTTTGAGTTATTATGCCTTTCCTGTTCAGTGGTTGTCCCATTCTAAAAGTTGTGTAGCATCAACAGCAGGCACGTTAATACATTCATAATCAATGCATGTTTTAAAAATCCACATCTCCATAAAAGCGGTAACGTTCCCTTGTGCTATCAATCAAAATTATTCTGACTGTGATCTCTCTTCTTTGAGCATGCTTCTCTGGAGAACTGGAGGTAGGAAAGGAGGAGTGTGAAAGGGTGGAATATACTCAGTTTATAAAATCCAAATATGTTAATTGTAAATGAAAGATGAAGATGCAAAAGGTGATACAGTATCTCCTATTCATTGCCATCTGCAAGTTCACGGGAGTTTTTCATATGTGGAATCACTTGAACCGTATTCACAGGATGTAAACCTGACTGAAAACAAAAGCGTTGTTGCTTATGCCTGTCTGCCTGTGAATTATCAAGCACGACAGTACATTCTTCAGCATATCCTAGTTACGACAGCATCTGTTTTGCATAAGTGGCCCTTTTGAATGCTGGAGATGCCTCATTTTTCTTAGGTGCTGTGCAGGCAGCCCCCAAAGCTCCAGCGGGCAAGTTCCAGTGGGAAGGCAGGCACTTGAACACTCGGCTTCACCACAGTTTGTAACACCCGAATGTCACTCTAAGTGATTTTTGCTCATACAGCAATCTTGAGAAGCTACTGGTTCTCCTTAAAAATTTTGCCCTTGGTGTCATCTGGTCTGGAAATCTCTTATTCCGGTTGGCTGTTCTGTTTGCCGGGCAATTGATCTTTGGGTTTATTGTGAAAAGCAGAGGGAATGATTCATTCCTGCTGTAAAACTAGAGGTAGCTGATAGGAAAGGCATTCAGAAGTTCTGGCAGTTCATCAACTCTTCCTTGCCACCTGCACGAAGAATTGTAGTTTGGATGCTTCCCTGAAGCTAAATTTGTGCCAAAAATACACACTGGTGCGGCAATAGTGGGCAGCAGCTGACACCTGGGGTGGCGGTTGTGAGCAGGGTTTCTCTGTGGCCAAACCCCTCTGCTTTAGAACTTAAGTTTGTGTTTTCTTACCAGAGCTTAAAAACTAGAATGTTATGGAAGTATTTTGGAGGAGGAAAATAAAAGTTCTGAACATGTATTTAAATGAATATGGGATTTAAGTATAACTTGAAGTATGGTGGTACGATGCGTAGCAATTTGACTTTTAACATCTAAGAATTGAGTCTCTTATAGAAAAGGGTTGATCTGTCTGACCCACTGAGGCATCCTATAATGTGTAGTTATATTTATCTATCAAAACAAATCAAATCTGCATCAATGTATTTATAAAGTAAGCTTTTCTATACTGTCTATATGGGAACCTTACAGATTCTACAAAATAAGTGAAACGGTTTCCTGCATGCCAGAGAATTATTCAGTATCAAAAAAGGAGAAAAATAGAACTTCGAGGACCCTGTGTAGGTGCAAAATTTTACTCCCTTTGTCTGACTTCGTGAGGTAGGTGGGTTTTTCGTTTGGGCCCCCCAGTATTTTCAAAATCTAGAGCTAATGAATCTGATGATGTTATCAGAGATCAATTAAATTCAGCAAACAATATATAGGATAGTGTTGCTCGTCCTGCAGCTTCTGCTTCGTTTAAACACTGTTTGGACAATGTGAACCATCCGTTTATGAGGACAGAGGCCGTCATAAAGGCTACGATGCCTAGCGTAGTTCAGCGACTAGCAAACACTTCCTAAAAGTCTATCGAAACCTTACAGCCCTCTCTTGTTACTAGAAGGTGTCACTTTGCTTGGGTGCCACATTGCATAGAGCAACATTGTTTTGACTGAACCAAATATATTTTCCTGTCTTCGTGAAATACTGAAATTGGAGCGAGGTTTATTTAAAAGACTATTTACTTTCTTCTGAATAGTATGAAATTCATTATCCGTAATTTTCTTGATGTTAAGGTTCTTGACTGGGTTGTGGAGACTGGTGTTTTTCCAAAGATCCTTACCTCCCTTTCTATACAAGAAGGAAGAATACTGCTTGGGCTCTCAGAGGATAAATTTGATTGTATCTGACCGACATTAAGGCATTATGATTGCAAAGACTGTATAAAAAACCCAACCTAATCCAGAGGATAAATTTGATTGTATCTGACCGACATTAAGGCATTATGATTGCAAAGACTGTATAAAAAACCCCAACCTAATCCAAAACAACCCATTTGCTTCAGTCTCTGTATTTGCACGCAGGTGGAACTTTCCCTCACCTTAAGTATAACTAAATGAGATCGTCGCATTCTGAATTCAGCAAGATGTACCGAATCCTATCCAAACCAACTCACCCCTTGGGAGTGAGGTCCTTAAAGATTTTGAGAGCTTACCTCTTGGAACTGTATTAAGATTATTTCTTTCAACTGACAATACTTTCAACGCAGGCAGGAGATGACAGCCTTTTCCATACTTTTTAGACCCAAGTGCAGGCGTAGGTATGTCCAGTGTGAGGGTGTGGATGGCATTACCATCGAGGTTTAGAGTTTCTAAAAGGGGTAAATTTCTAAAAGTAGTTAAGGAGAGTTCAGAAATCAGGTTGTTACTGAGATTCAGGTGGTTTAGCATCCATTCTTCACTTCTTCCATCAGTGCACAGAAAAGTTTTAATGTTATTGTAACTAAAATCAGCCGTTATTGCTGTTTGTGATATATCTTCTGGAATAGCAGATATTCCGGTAAAAGAACAATTCAGTAAGAACTCCCCATCCCACCGGCAGTCTGAATGGTGATGTGTATCCAGAAGAATCCGCTGTGACTCGGTTCCCACTGATCCGGGAAGATTAAAGTAAAGGACCACAGCTATGACACTCAAGTGAAGATTATCCATAGTATCTATATGTAAAATGTAAAATTATGGTAAGTTCAGCATAACAAGAGTTAAATAGAAAGTGGAAATACTTTGACATTAGAAAAATCAACACTAAACAAATACCCAAAGCATTACCAACATTCTGCCTTAAACATTCAGTTTTGGAGTCTTAGGTATTTTTCAAAAAGAACATTCATAAACTGGTAACCTTCCCCCTCCTGCCACCTCTCCCAGAAAACAATCCGAACCTTTTCTTTCTTTTCCAGCCCTTCAGTCGAGAAACACAGCTTCTCAGGAACTTGTGAACTAACAACAGTGGAGACTTTTGAACTCTACTTCAGGTATCATACGCAATTACCACTGAGCAAAGTCCACCTGATACAATCAGTGACGAGTACATGTGGAATGATTTTCATACTTACAGTTAATAAAATACTAGTTTCCCTGTCAGTAACACGACAATGTATTTTTTAATGAAAAAAAATTATTCTTACAAATAACACTTCTGAACCACAGCTGCATCTTAGAATTTATTGTTTCATTTCAAAACAAAGATTAGAAATTCAATTGTCTTTCACCTATTAAAACAACCACCACCTTTACAAATGCTGAGAACTCTTCACATGTAAGTTGTTTCAGCGTACCCAGTACGGTGTTTTACACAGAGGCTTGTAGAACGTACTTTAAACGCACAGAATCTTAAGTACATCTGTGAGATTGAAATAAATAATGTGCCACACGATGTTTTAAATAGGTATAGAAAAACGTACCTTAGGCAGTTAGAAGATAAACAACAAATAAATGCGCAACACAAGACGTGTGGCGCCAGCATTTCTCAAACTGTGTAGTGAAGGCAACAAAATACATTAACAATACATAAATAGCGGCTAACAAATTGGTAATTTATTTCATTTGGTATTTGTATGATCGGTTTTGCTACGTTTTGACAAAAAATCCACACTTCAAAACAAATTATCCAGACCATGATTTAAGAGTACCTTTGTGACAAATCTTTCAGCTATGTTGCGTACAGTATTTTAAAAAGAACTCTTGGTAATTACAAGAATCCAATACTAGCATATAGGCATGTCAGTATTAACGAAAGAAGAGCTTTAATATGCTCTTCGTGTGTAATCTACTTGACCGAGGCAGTATCTGCCATTTTCAAGATCTATTTCAGCTTTGAGGATACTGCTGCTTATATTTGTGTGTGTGTGTGTGTGTGTATTTTTATATATAAAAATAAAACGACAAACTTCCATTAGCATGAGAGTGAAAATTCTAAAAATGTTAATTTCCTCCTCCTAACTGTAACAGATACTAATTGAGGCACTACGTAGCAGCAAAGATGTGTGCAAGTTTTCAGCAGAACCTGTGTTGAAGTGGTTAATAAATATTAACTCTAGTAAAATTATGAAGTTCATGAAGGCAGTATGCAAAATGTTAGTACTTTCCCGTAATCTTTAAAGTGAGCAATTCAATGGCTTTTGCTACATTTTATTCTGCTTATTCTGTTTTTTCTTAGAACAGCTTCACTGCTGTCCACCCCCCAAAACCCCCAACAACTACTGAGCATCAAAATTTGGCTTTACCTTTGAGCAATGAGAGAAATGTGACCCCTCTGACCTCCCGTGTGGCATAATGCCTGACCTAAGGATCCCCCTCTAGAAATCACTTCCACCCATACACACCCTGCATGAGAACTTACTGACTTCTAGTAAATACAGGATTTGGGACCTTAGATAAGAAGTTCTTGTTGCAGCAGGAGCTGATTTGCATTTTGTGGAATTCCATGTACTTTTGAGAGCTATAAACCAAGGGTAGATAGTGTATTCTCCCATAACGAATGACCAGTTCTGAAGTTAATGTGTAACATTTGTACAACTTTTAGGAAGAGAAGTGTGTGCTTATCTAGAAAAACTTGTCAAAAAGCTACTTGCAAAGTCACCTTTGTGGCCTCCATGATTAAGGTTACTTGATGCTACTGCAAAACAAAACTATTTTAAACTGAAGAAATACATGGGTTGGGGAAAGGAGGAATCTTAGAATGAGCTGGTCTATTTTTAGTACAGAACACCTTACCTCTGCAAAAGCAGTTACAAGGCTGTAATAGTTTCTGTAAGGCCCCAGTTCACCACAGAGACAGTTTCACTGTTGGCAAATTCAGATACACATGTATTTACTCTGCTGTCATAGGATCCAATACCATCACAGTTAGAATTATAGACCTGCAGTTTAACTTCAGAATTTAATTCTGAGGTTCTCAGTAATGCAGCAGTACTGACATTTATGGGGAAAAAGAGATCTGATCTCAGACTCTGCTGCAACAGTCACGCTTTAGATTATTACCTGTTGAATAACGGATTCATACACTGTTCACATTAAAGCACCCAGGAAAACACTTTTTTTGGGTAGTGAGCAAGTTATAAGTACATCTTTAAAAATGTACTTCTAATATAAACACGTTTTATAAATACTTCACATAAATTAAGCAACTGTAGAATGCCTAAACTGCACAGACAGAATGGGAGCTCAAGCAACACTTCAATAATCGCAAGACTATTTCAAAATTGAAGTTACATTTCCACACTCGGTATTACTTTGCAAATATTATTTATGCTAGCATAATTTTTTTTTAACTACATAATAATACATGGCAGAAATAACGCAGTATTTTAAAGTGAATCTGCCATTACCCCTCTCTTAGTACACATATGGTAAACCACATAATTTTTGGGGAAATCATTACATCAACCTTTGGCAAGAAATGAAGAGAAGACAAAAATCCGCTACTTCAGCCATCCTAGGCAAATCCACTTCCAACAACAAATGGACATTCCTGTTGAAGTACTTCAGATCGCAGTTGTGTTCTCAGCAGCCCTCAAGGTCTTGGGATGTAGGACAAAAACCTCCTCTAAAGGCAACTGAAGGCAGTCGAGATTGTTGCTAAGATCACGTTCTTTAAATATATTCTACTGATCCCAATTCAGGAAGGTACTTCAGTATGCATGTAGACTGAAAGCTTACTAAATCAGTGCCACTATTACGGCTAACAAGATGATGACATAATACTGCTGAACGTAACAGCCTTTGCTTAAAAATATTATGTAATAAATGTTAGTATAAACTGCTGTAAAAACAGAAATCCTTGAAGGCATGCAATTACTTCGTACAAATATATGTAAACACAAAGGAGAACTCTCCTGGTAGTGGTTTGTGTTTTAGTGCGTGGCTCCGCACGGATTGACAGAAGTCTGACAACCCATGTTGTAACCTGTCACCTGAACCTTGAACAGTGTCCCATCCGCACACATACAGAGCTTGAAACGCAGCCAGTTGCCGTTATTAAACTGCTCCCCGTAAGAAGAACTTGGCAGTCGCGATGGGCTGACCATCACAGTTCCGTTCAGGATAATGCTGTTTTCCTATTAAGAGGGAGAAAAAAAGAGTACAACTTCTGATTTAAACAAGGCAGGTTGTTGTTGAAAAAGACAAACTGGTTTAATGAATAAATGACATCTTTAGGATGGCTGTAGAAATCAACAGAATAAAAAAAGTACATATGACAAGGCTTCATTTTTTAATTAAGTCTGTGAATAATGCCCATGAATTTCTCAATTATAGTCAGCAACGTACTTTGCTATTCCAGTGATAGATCGATATTGAGAGAGACAGCAGTAGTGTGGCTTTTCACTTTACAGACATATTAGCAAATGCAGTAAATCTAAAAACATGGACGTGAAATGGGAATCAGTGTTTGAATTCATACATGAAATTCATTCACACATGAAATAAAAGTGCACGTCTGTCTATTTTTTATCCTCCTTTAACCTCTTCCATCATTCCATATGCCCTGCAATCTTAACAATCTCCAAAACTCTTAAATGAATGCTGGCGAGGCTTACTGCGGCAGCACAGAAGGTAGTGCTCCTAACCGTATCCTCTGCTCCTCTGTCAAAGGTTGCTGACCCCAGTAAAGCCTCCAGAAGAGAAGATGAATTCCCTTTGGTATTCGTTTCAGTGCAGAGGCCAATAGCTTAGCTTTAATTGCATCGTGGGTTTTTAGCATCTTAACAGTAGTAAATCATTGTTACCTGAAAACTCCTGAACCACTAATTAACAACAAAGTAATAAACCACCTTTTAAAATCCTACTAAATACGCTGACTGCAACTAAACTTTTATGCATGACTACTTTATATAAAATTTGAAACCATATAAAGCTACATCAGTTTACTATCAGCCTGAACTTGAAAGTAAGCTGTTCAAAAAATGCTGATTTGAAATACTTACTGCTTTAAGTTCCATGTTACCCCCCATTCGAAACTCAATGGTCTTGCCTGTGATGAAAACACCTTCATTTCCACGGACAATAGCACGGCCATCGACCTTTATGTTGAGATCACTGGTCGCATTGCTGGTAATCTAAGAACATAAACAAAAAAAGTGTATTACAGATCAATGAAAATGTGTCACTTGGGTTTGTCTGAGTAACTTTAATTACCTTAAAAATATTGCTACACAATTTAATAAAAAACTTCAATGTACTTTTTGCCCTTCTGCCATTATGCCTATGAAGCTTCTGCCCGTTTGTTATTGTCCACATTCACATTTAAAAACAAGGATTACTTAATTCTGGAAGGTATGTAAAATATTTTATTTTTGCAATAAAAATAACAATTTGTATGACAATTTTATGGGATACAGAGTTAACACTCGTAGCAAATACAGGCTTCCTGTTGGGACTGATTATGTAAACTTACTCCTCTGTTTTCATTTAATCTGTTCCTTCTATGTATTTATAGGCTTGGGTTTTTTTTTCTAGAACATACTATTTAATTGTTAGCCTTGCAGAGGAAACCCAAAGAAGAGCAAACTAAATTCTCTTCATCCTTAACAGGATTACTCAATGCTTCCTAAGGCACACTCAACCCTCTATAAAACCACTGATACTACTCTACTGATGTTACACAAAAGAACTATGCACTTACTCTATCTGTAAAGCCTTTATTATGAGTG